CTCAATAGAATTAGTGCCAGATGTTGGTTTTCTTATTGCCTAGTAACTTTGTCTTCCAAGAACACTTAACCCATTCGCCCCGGATTTATGTTCTGTCCCCTGCAGTTTTTGGTGAATTTTGTTACATACAGATGGCTCCACATGCGCTCCGCCGGCAAGGAGTCTATCAGTAGGCCCTAGTTACCGATCCTGATTTTCCCATTCCTTGAATTGGCAGGAAAATGTCTTTTCCTTATTAACCCATTGCCGCCAGGGATGGCATGCACATGACTCGTGTATGAACTCTTGATGAGGCAACACCTTTTCGAACGCAGTAGCAACAAATACTAAGTCTTGTGCCACTTGAGCTACCCTGGAGCCCGGGGCCTCTTGTCTCGCTTGACATTGTTGTTCCTGAGTTTCTTAAGTAATTGAAATAAAGTAAACTCTGTATTTACAGAAATAGAGCTTTGCCAGCACCTTCAGTGCTCTTGCTTTTGCAGGTGGCACGAGGCAGTAGGCCTAGTCAGCACCCCACCTCAGACCCGCAGCTCTCTTCTACACCAGGGTAGCCCTTGTGGCTTTGACCCCTGGGTAGGGAGGCCCAGTAGTCTGGGGCGTCACTTGGGTGCACTTTTTCTTATTTTCTAAATTATTTTCCTCATGATGTGACTTCCCTAAGCCTACCGGAGTTCCTCATGAACTCCTGTATTCGCTTGGGGGCTGGGCATTGAATTACCGTCCTTCGCCTAGGCAAGTTCGGCAGTAAGGAGGTGTCCCACACATAACTCGATCCCTTTGTCGTACTGGAGAATGCAACCAGGCTTCCACTGAGGGGATAGAGGACATTAAACTGCCTTACTCTCTTAGCTATTGCTGTTAGGTTGATACCAAAAGTTAAGGGTTTTTGATCCCTTCAGGACATTTGTGAGACAAGGGGTCGGACCTGGTCAGATACCCAGAATGAGTGATACCCCGGCTACCCCTTCTCCTCCTCAAGGAGGAGGGGCGACTAATGACCCTTCTATGACCAATCTGATGAACAATGGAAACCCCACTAATGACATGAATGAAAATCAAGTGGACGGCGATTTTGATTTTGTCAAAAAATTGCGAGATGTAAGCCTCCTTGTTAATGTACAATACAACTCCCAGATTAAGGATTTACTTAAGCTGACGCAATTTCATGATCTTCGAGTTAAAGTAACTATTCCTATTGGCCCAAATACCTGTAAGGGAGTAATCTTTCACAGGGATTTGAGGACAATGGAAGAAAGTGAAATTCTCGAGAGTATGAAGGACCAAGACGTAGTGGACATTCATTGTGTGACCAAGAAGGATGGGAATATGCGAACGAAAACTAGACTGTGTTTTTTGACCTTTGCCTTGAATAAAATCTCAGAGTATGTCAATGTCGGTTATGAACGTGTTCAAGTAAGACCTTATGTCCAAAAGCCAATGCATTGTAATAGATGCCAAAAATTCGGACACACCTCATTAAGATGTATTGATAAAGACTCTACTAAATTTACTTGCCGTAAATGTGCTGAAGCCCATGACACCATCACATGTACTAGCCAGATTTCTAAATGTGCTAACTGTGGAGGTCCCCATCAGTCAGGATCTGCTGAGTGCAGCATCCAGAAGAAGGAGACTGAGACATTGGCATATATGAGAAAGCATGAAGTTAATTATACTGAAGCTAAGAGGAAAGTTGAAAGTTTGACAAACCCAATACTTCCTATGCTGCAGCACTAACTAACAACACCCCTAGTACAAGTGATGTCAGTCAACAGCTTGCTGCTAAGGATAAGGAAATTGCTGAACTCAAACAAACCGTTAAAGAATTAAATATTAAAGTTTATCAACTGACTAAATTGGTCGATCAAATGGCTGCATCAACCAAGCATAAATATCATAAGGAGGATGATACTGAATCACAGTCCGGAGCGCACCTTCCCGTCTGGGCTACTCCTGTGGGGACTTCGTCTGGCTAGCGATTGATTTTTCAAGAGAGAAGCAGATCGCAATCTGTCAGTCGTCTCCCTCGCCAGGAGGTGCAGGACATGGAGGCTTCTGTCTCCGAACCATCCCGTGAGAGGTCCCCGGGAAGCGAGGGAGAGGAGGCGCCTCCCTCCCATAAAAAAAAAATTCAAACTGGTGGACAAGGCACTTCCAAACCCCATAAAACGTAATCTTCTCGTCGACCATTATACAATGGAACTGTCGAAGTATTAGATCTAAAGTAAATGACCTTAAATTATTAGCCTCGTCCTATGCTCCTGATATTATAGTTCTCCAAGAAACGCATTTAACAGAATTTGTCTCTGATGAGGTCGTTTCGCTGAGGAACTACCATCTGTGTCAGAAGGATTGTTTGGGTAGGGGTGGAGGCGGAATCGCCATGTACATCCATCAAAACCTCCCTTTTACAGAAGTGACTTTTGATTCTACTTTGGAATTTGTCACATGCAAAGTAAAAATTAATGGCACATATCAGGCTATATGTTCAGTTTATTGTTTATTACTTTTGCAACTACAAACAAGCAAGAGCTATGGCTCGTGGAGTAATTAGACAAGCTAAAAGAGACTCCTGGCGTAGCTTTGTCTCTACAATCAATAGCAATACAAAAATATCAGAAGTTTGGTCCACAATCAATAAAAGCAATAAAAAACATCTTTCAAAATTAAGAACATCATTGACGAGGGTAACAATTTAGATTCACCTAGAGACATTGCTAATGCACTCGCCAGGCAGTTCTCTCATACAAGCAGCTCAGCAAACTACCATCCAGCATTCCTGCCCATTAAGGAAGCGGCTGAGCTGCAACCAATTCACTTTGCCACAGGAGATGACTTTGATTACAATAAAGATCTTACAATAGTCGAGCTTGTCCGAGCCCTAGAAGCCTGTAGAGGAACATCCCCAGGCCCCGATGAAAACTTTATGCTTTTGGATTACGTGGAAACTTGCCTTGTTTTATTCAAAATTTAATTTCTGACAGAATGTTTGCTGTCAAATTATTTTCTGACAACGTCACTTTTTCGGACATTTTTGTCCAGGCAAACCGGGTCCCACAAGGAAGTGTCTTGTCACCAACATTATTTCTGTGTATGATTAATGACATCTTACCAGCTCCCCCTCGGAATCTTAAATACTCACTGTACGCTGATGATTGTGCATTATGGCACTCCAGCAATAATGTAGAATTCTCAGCAAATCGCATCCAATTGGCACTGGATATGTTTCATAAATGGGGCCTCCAGTGGGGTTTTAAGTTTTCCATTAGAAAGAGTATTGGGGTAATGTTTTCACATAGGAAAAAGCCGAACATCAGGCTAACTCTAGACAAGCACCCAATACCAATTCAAAATTCTGCTAAATTTCTTGGGCTACTTTTTGATAGTAGACTCAATTGGAAAGACCACATTGGTCAGTTAAAGAATAAATGTCAAAAAGCACTAAATTTATTAAAGTGCATTTCTGGTAATAAATGGGGAGCTGATAGACAGTCTTTGCTAATGGTATATAAAGCCCTGATTAGGTCTAAAGTAGATTATGGGTCAATCGTGTATGGTTCGGCATCGAGAACAAGTTTGAAAGGTTTAGATGCTGTGCAGAATGCTTGTTTGCGTGTGTGTGTTGGAGCCCTAAAATGCACTCGGATCGAGCGTCTTGAGGTGGAGTCAGGAGTATCTCCCTTCCGACTCAGACGCGGCCAGTTAGCCCTGAGCTATGCCGCGAAGGTGGCTCGAGACCCGAACCACCCTAATGGCAATGGAGGCACTAGGCCCTTTGCCACGAGACTCCACGACCTCGCCGGGAAAGTCGGTATAGATCTCTACCATCGATACCCTGGTTCAGTCAAATATAGCGCCATGGGAAACCCTCCATTTTTCTATCATGGAAGCCTGGCTTCCATCGGCCAAGGCCATGGCGCCGGAGGTGGAGGTACGCCAGCGGTTCAGAGAGATCCTAGTTAAACATCTCCCTTTTTTTCATATATATACCGACGGCTCCAAAATAGATGGATGTGTGGGTGCGGGTGTATGGTCGACTGAATGTGAACTAAAGTTCAGACTGCCGAATCATGCATCAATCTTTATTGCCGAGCTTTTTGCCATTGACAAAGCTATTGATTAAGTTCACTCAAAGCTATTAAATCCTTAGAAACCACTACAAATGAATTGCTGGGTAATATCATTCGTAAGTTACATAGTGCCAACAAATCAATCAAGCTAATATGGGTGCCAGGCCACTCTGGTATCCATGGCAATGAACAGGCAGACACACTAGCCGGGTCAACTGGCGATCTGGACACTACCATAGTTCGTACAGATCTCAGGTGTTTTGTGTCTCTTATAAAAGCAAAAATACATCTGTGGCAAAGTGAGTGGACCAACCTCCAACTCCCAAACAAGATAAAACCAACAATTGAACTGTGGGAAACAGCCCACAGGAAGGAAAGAAGGGAGGAGGTGGTGTTGGCCCGCCTTAGGGTCAACACCTCAAGATTTACCCACCTCACAAAAAAAAACAGATTTTACAACATCAAATCTCTTATCAAATAATGAAAATATAATCAGTAAAGTAATCACTTTTTTAAAGGAGACAAAACTTTATAACCTTATATAGATTGATAGAATCAATAGGATCCATTGGCTTAATAACCTTGGCCTCATGCCTCTGGTTGATAGCCAAGAAGAAGAAGAAAGAAGAAGGATGGCATGTACGTAAAAGCCATGCCCACTGTGAGTCAACTTCTTCGATTGTTTTTACACATAGATGGCTACACTTGTACTAAGTATCCAATGAGCCAATAACGAGTACTGCCTGTCTTGCCATTCACCCTTTTCATCGATTTAAATAACACCATCTATATATATAGCACTAGTAAGAATACGTTTTTTCCCGCCAATTCAAGGAAAGGTGAAATCAGGACTAGCAGAGCCATCTATGTACAGAGACATTTCATAAAAATATAAAAAATGAGTACAGCAATTTCCCCATTTTTTTATTC